AGTTTACTTGCTTCGTTAGTTTGTTAGTTAGACTTGCATTCCAGTTTTATTGCTAGATAACAAGAACTCACTGAGTAGTCAGCAAATCTAGGACCCGGGTTGACATATAAACCTAACCCGCTATACTACGCTTTAGGAAGTGGTTTCACTTGGCCAATTCCTGGAGTGACAGTAGAGTCGAGTCACTTACTTGTACCATGGAGATTTTGGACCACTCGAAATCAGAAGCGGGAATGGAGGAACCAATGTCATAATGTCAAGTGCAAAGGTGTTGAGTAAGGCGTGTTTGAACTCGTTGTCCGAGATTGTGAGACCATCAATGCTTGCATTAGGTGGTCCACCAAAATCTGAGTAAGCCACCTCAAGAGAGGGTGGCGAAGGCCGAAATCACGGTCTTGAGGATTGCCGATCAACGGCTAGGATTTGAGTAACGAGGTGGGAGAGGAAGTAGTTGTGATGTATGCGACATTGTGGAATAAATCAACTTTGACTCGAAGGAGGAGCCACATTCAAGTTTCATAGTGCCAGTTTGCAGGAGTCTGACAGGTAAGGGTTAACTCTGGTTCCGAATGGCTTCAAAGTTTGTTTTACGTGTGCACATCATGAAATATTGCATGGATATGTTGCAATCATGTTGTTTAGCCAATTTATCGTTTTTTGTTTTAGATTCGTGAATAAGTGAGCTACGTAGATGCCATTGGCATTGCATTAACATAATCAATGTCGTTGGTGTATGGTTGTGTTGGCTAAATGGTTTCTTTTCTTTAGTCCAGAGTTGTTAAATATGGTCGGCCGATTACTATGTTGTCGAGATAGTCAAAGATTAAACATGGCTTTACTTTTTATTTTCTTTGATAATGGTTGATAAAATAAGAATGACCAAACATGGTCATTTTATATTTTTCCTTCTTTTCTTCTTAACGATGTTGTTGGGGGGCACGGCGCTGGAGATGTAAAAGGAGTATTGTACTTGGCCAAAAAATGTTGCCGGAACAATACTGTTGAAAACTCGAAGCTGCTTTATAAGAACTAGCTTTACGACCATTTGGAGGAAGTAACACTATTGTGGTAAGGAATGACCAATCATGGTCGTTAGATTAAGTTGTGTTATTTGTTTTTCTTTTCTAGCAACATTATCTTGGCCACAACCAAGGGAAAAGGATCAAGTCTCCGCACAATTGCATGGAGAAATTCTTTTGCCTGGAAAGCCATGCTTGGTTGGGGTCTGGTGTTTTGTCGTGAGTAGAATAACTTAAAACCAAACCGAACTCGTTGATGGATTCGCGATGGTGACGTAAGTTTGGTTTTGGCTTATTCTACGCCGCAAAGCGGTGCAACGACATTGTTTTATTTTCTTTTCAAACGATGTTGTTTGGGTTGTTGTGAAAGTAAAAGGAGGGGCAAGATTGCAAGTTTGTTAAAAAAAAAATTAACGCGTCCGATTTGGTCCAAACAGTATTGCGGAACTGTAAGGAGGGCTGATTAACATGTGTGTTGGCCCTTCCCTCCGAGCAACGGTATTACCAAAAATAAAAAAATAAATAAAAGGCCACAAAAAATAGCACTGTTGGTGCAGAAAGAAGAAGGGAATCAAAGTTGTTTTGCAAAATAATCTAGCTAGAGCAAAAACAGCGTTGTTGGGTAGATTTTGCCTAAGAAGCACCCTTGAGAGAGAGAGAAAAATCAGAGTTGTTTTGGAGGAAAATAGCGCGGGACCGAACTCTCCTTGTTGGAGAAGGAAGAGGATGCGGCCAAGATAGAGCATTGCATTTATGTGAAAGGCCAACAACGCTGCCGTGTTGATGGATCCAGCGGTGGGTTGTTATGGCCAAAAAGTCGTGTTTCTAATACAACTCTGCAGGTTTGATGAATATTTTAAAATATTGCTGCGGTGGAAAAAAAAAGTTGTGATTTTTATTTAGGAGCGCTGTTGTAGGCTCGCAGCTTTGCAATTCTCATGATTCCATCTCCACCTCGCTAAAGGTATAAAGAAAATAAGCAATGGTGTTTTATTTTTATCATTGCAATTCACTAATGCTTTTGGGCAAGTGATGTTTGATGGCTCATTTTGGCCATGGAAGGTTCAGAAGTTTGTGGTCAATTTTAAAAAATGATTTTAGGTGTTTAGAATTATGTCAACAATTTGGTTCATAATTCTTATAAACCAAATTGTGGGGCATTGTTGACACCTAAAATTAATTTGGCCCGAATTAAATGCCGCATTAATTAGTCTTGGCATTTAATTCGATACCGCGGGTAAAAATACCGTTTGGAGTCGAGCGGCATCGCGGAGAGTTAAAACGATACCGCAAAACAAAAACGATACCGCATGGAAGCTCAGCAGTACCGCGACATTGGAAACGACACTGTTTACCGGAAAATAAGATGTGGGCCGCTTGTTTAGTAGTGGTGTTGGAAAAGGAGTTTTTTTAAATTAATTATTATTTTTATTCCTTGTCGGAAGGGGAGAAGCGATACCACATGGAGAAAAGCGCATCGCGGAGAATTAAAATGGTACCGCGGATTCAAAAACGATACCGCGAGAGGCCTTGATAAGCAGTGACGATTAATTAAAAACCACATCGGGTAAGTGATTGGCCCAAAAATCCGCCCAGCCCAAACGTGCGAAATCGCGGCAATGTAATATGTTGGTATTTCTTTTTATTATGTTAGGCGATATGGTTTAATTCAAAACGGTACCCCGAGTAGGCCCAACGGTGCTGCTGTATTAGCAAACGACAGTGTTGAAAATAAACAGTGTCGCGGAGGAAAAAACAAACTGAGCTGATTGGGGAAGAAAAACGCCACCGCAAGGCTGGAAGCGGAGTCATTTAATATTAAAATGATATCGCGGGTAGAATCAAACGGTGCTGTCTAGCTAAAAACGACACTGCTTAAGGCATCAACAACGCCGCCATATTACTAACACCCTAATCACTAAACTCTAAACCATAAAAACTATTATTATTTCATATGCTTAAATAAACAAAGGATCACATCGAAATAGTTACCAAAAGTGCCCCATTAGACTTATCCAAACGTCCCACAAAAATATCAAAAAATATGAACTAATATCAATTTAACCCAAAGCTAATATCCATACCACATAAACTAATATCCATTTATTGCAAACGACCACAAGACTAATGAACCCTAACCCTAAAAAAACTAAACCCTAATCACTAAACTCTAAACCATAAAAGCTATTATTATTTCATGGGCCTTCGGCGGGCAGCCCTAACTAAGGTTGCAAGCTTTATGTGTTAGGACTTGATAGCGTGTTTAGTTTTGATGGAAGACACAATATCCATCGCATATAATATCAGATTATCAGTTCATGCAAAACTTTGTTTGTCGATTGCCGAGACTAAACCGTAAACCCAAACCTTAAACTCTAAATTGTAAACCCGAACCCTAAAACTTAAACTCTAAATTGGTATAATTAGTTTCGGGTGGTTGGATTATATTGGGGTTTACAAATTACAATAGGGACAAATTAGGCATAACAGACATAATAGGGCAGGATTTTTAAAATAGTTGGGTAGGGGCAGCTATTTTGAAAACCGGGTCACGTAGGATTTACAAATCCGTCAGGTACAAAATCTTTGGTTCTTAAAGACCTTGCCTAACAAAGAATTGTACCAAAATCCGGGAAGGTGAGTGATTGTGTCAAAATCCGGGACCACAAACCCCAATCAAACAACCCCTAGAACAATTTTCTTGTCTATCAGACTGTGGCCCCTTTAAATTTACAAGTTATTGCTACGATGACCAATACTTTAAAGGATCTGCCAGAAATTGTTCAATTCGAATTAAGTGTTGCGGAAGAATTATTATTTTATGTTTCTGACCGTGTCTTCCTTTCCTTCCCGTTTGCACTGATGGATTGTCGTGGCTGTTTATCCGTTACAAGCACCAGCGCAGCGCAGGCAGGAATCATGCTGCTGCTTCTGCAAGCTTTGACCAGACGGCCGTCTCCCCCACAATCGAACAGTCAGTCATATCCAGACACAGACATACAGTATAGTTGGTGACAGAATATTAGAGAGAGAGATATATATATATATATATATATATTTAGCTGTCCTCTAATACTCTATTCCAATTATCACCAGCTGAGGGAAGGACACTTGGCAACCAAACACAGGTCAGTTACCAAATATTTGAGGACTGCAAGTTACTCTCTCACATGTCAATCTCTCACCATAATTAGCATCCCATGTGCTTCTGTTCTGCCACCATACATAGATTCCTTTCTCCTAACTCCTACTACCAAACCAAACCACATTTATCAACTCCAAACACCCTGTTTTATATGCATATATATGAATTGTTATTGTGAGAACAATGTCACATATTTAGTCGAGTATTCTGATGTTCACCTGTCACTAAATGTGGTGCCTGTCGAAATAATTCTTTCGACTCCCCAAACTCGAACCAATTAAGACGTGGCGACTGCCGAATGAATGATGAACTATACTGCACAGCCTCGCGAGAATGATGTGATCAGGTCAATGACAAATACAATAAAGCTGTTCCTGAACGTGGGCATGAGTTGTGTGCTGGCTTGGCTAAAACCCACCCCCACCCCACCTAACTCACTCAACAACAACGAAAGAAGAAGAATAAGAAGATTCTGACACCGCAACTCGCGGGGCTTTGGTCAACTTAGCTTAAAAGACATAAATTTATAAACTACTGTAACCGCAGATTAATTGATAGACAATCCCTTTCCACTTGCTGGACTCACCTCTGCTACAATGTGAGTGAATTCCCTATATAATAATATGCTCTTCTCTTTGCTGGACGTGGTTTCAACTTCCAACCACTTCCCACGAAGAAACAGCTCAACTCTTCTCACTTCCAATATTAACAATTTGCCATCAAGTATGAACAGGTTTGGTTTCATCAGCGGATCATTGATTGGGAAATGCGCAGTCCTCGTCCCACACCTCCTCCACCTTCCCCATATTCATTTTCCATGACAATCAGTTAGTTAATCATCTTCTACGATGATCAACTTCGGTATCCCTGAACTCACCAGTCACCCTGTCAAGAAAGGTCGGTTTACACACTCATCATCGCCATACTCGCTACGCAAAGGAATGACTTAAGAAAGCACTAAAGAAAATACTATTTGCATACCTGTTATATGACAAGTACGCGTCGCCTATGGTACCCACAACCTTGTTTCGAACCTTCCGAACACAAATCTGCAGAGAACATGAATTGTGTTTGTGCCAGTGTCAGTACCACAAGGTCAAATTGCAATCGAATTTGAAAGGGGATATTTTGTGATTTGGTGCATGTTTGTTGTGTAAGCAGAATGGAGATGTGCAGCACCTGGACTTGATCAATATCCCCAGCCTCGGGATTTCTGTTGCGATGAATAATTATCCCATTATCACATTTGTTTATGAAATGGGCACTCCCGCTTATATCATACATATTAGGCGGGCCACCTATCCAGTTGTGCAACTGATTGTTAGACAAAAGAAAGTGTGTGAACAAATACCATAAACCCAATAGTCAAAGGGAAAATGACTTGAGGAAAAGAAAATTATGTCCAGGGGAGCATCATCACCTGTCTCGGATGCGCAACGAACCACACATGACACGAATGATGTTGAGCAAATCTTTTTACCAGAGTCAGCATCTGACTCACATACTCTGTTTCGGTCCTAATCACAACAAGACATGTGTTTAATGGATAATCCTCCAAATATTAGAATCAGGCATTAACATTAACAATCAGCTACTCAAAAGTCTTGATTTGGAACCAGTATTAGCCAACCACAATCATAAGCCCTGGCATACCCTGAAACTACGAAGGAAAGAGACCTCAGCAAGGTGAAATTCTCACATGTTAGGTGGACGCTGATGATCAAGTTCATTGTAAGGATCAATTACAAGTCCACGGACACCATATCTAAGCACTGCTGCTTTTGCAAGACTAAGTACCCATCTTATGCTTGGAAGTGCATCATCTTCACATCTATTATTCCACCATAGAGATGCCAGCTCAGATTCACATCACAAACAAGCAAAACAATTGAGTTTTTTGCATCACCAGAAAGCTTGACAAAAGATGGGAAAGTCATAAGACAGCTAATATGCTTTTCTATTTGCCAGTAGTATTCAGGCTCTGGGAATTACCCAAGCTACGTTCTCCATAGTGGAGTCAATGCAGGTTTAAGTTACCTTATGAGATGGAATGTATCATTTAACCACTGCTTCCCTCGCTCATACTCCATGACATCAATGCGTTCAGCAGATTCTCCATAGCTACGATGAAGAAAGAGGACAAGAAAAGTTTACCAAAATTTTAAATAGGGATAATGAAAGGATACTAATTGACAAGCAAAAGGGTGTCCCCAAGACAGGACCCTATACAAAAAATCTTACTCCAAGAAATCTCTACATGATTTCACAGTAATTCAGACATTAATAGTTCTGTTACAAAACAGTGATTATAGGTACACAACTTGCTTGGATGAATAAAAGTAGAAGAAAAACAAGGAAAACGGGAAAGCATGTTGAAATCAAGCTAGGAAGAACATAATCGTTGCAACAAGAAACCGCTTGCAAGAATAATGGAGACAGGGATACACATAGGTTAGAGCAACAAAAAAAAAAAAAAAAAGAGATTGACACCAACTCACGGAGCATCAAAAAACGGCTTTCTAACATATTTCTCCATCAGCTTCCTAGCATGGTCTCGAACCTACAGTAGCGAGAAGATGACGATTAACACTGCAAGTACATACAAAGACCCCATAAAACAAATATAACTGCAGAGGTTGGAAGAAGGCCAACAAAGCAATTTGACTATTTTGCAACAACATATATGAGACTTATGATTCACAACAAATATCTGCAGTACATCCATTTCTTTCGAACCTAGTTTAGATTTCTTGGTCTCATCAATGGAGTTAATAGATTTTACACCTATTATGGCTAGTAGATCTTATTACCAGAGGCAAACTTATGATGACTACAGACTGTCCATCGCCGTAAATAGGCCAAGCGCAGTCATCTTTCAAAAAAGCGACAAACTAAACTATATAATGTGCGAATTTCAGGTTGATGATAACTTTTAAAAGGAAATGGCTTTCTTTCACTGCAGAAAGCATAAAAAGCAGTACTCTATAGCTTACATTGTTCTCCATAGAGCAAAGAGCAAATTTCCAATCAGCACTTCTATTAAGGTTGCATAAAAGAGCATCAATCCATTCACTCTTGCCAGAATTCGGAACCCCACTTACTATCGTCAACTCTCCTGGTAAAACCTGCAATTGAACAGGTTCAGAACAAATTCCGCAACAAAACATGCACACATCATTTTCTTGTTTCATTGGGACTTTTAAAAGAAAACAACTACAAATCTGAGAGTGAACTTAAATCTTTGTCAAATGTTTAATGATAGATAATGCAGACTCTACCATAATCTTTGTCTAGTGCTTATATAATCATCAGTACTTATTGGCTTGCTCACATCACATTGCCTTTGTCATTGCCGTTCAAAAAATCATATCAATGTCCTTTCACCTTTTTTGTCAATTAATTACACAATTGAAAATACGGCCCACTTTACAAATGAATTATCACCGAGTTAAAGAAAGTTCTTCTTACACTGTACAGCCCATCCAAAGACGTCCATCCTGTTGAGACACCAAACTGGTATCCTTGAGTTTGATGATAATACGAGTCGATTTCATCAAAGAAGTCTCTGAAGAGGAATAATCCTTTGATGGGATATAGTTCCGCATCATCAATTGCATCCTTCAGTGCTTGAGGACCCAAATACATTAGCACCTGCGAGTAGAGTTGGAAGTATAATTATGGAGGTCCCCGCAAAAAAATCACATAATCAGTTCATTGGCTTGTTATGAGACCTCATTTGCATCTTTGCAATAACTATCTGCATTTTTCCTTGGCCATTTGACTCGCCAGCATCTGCATTCCCAAACAAAGATGACAATATTGCTCACAATTACAATCATTGTATGATAAATGATATAATAGGCAGACAGTCTCCTCAACCTTTCTCTTCCAAGACGCCGTGCAAGCTCTTCTGCCAATGCTTGACCAGGAGGGTCTCCATCGGTAGCAAGTATGATGCGAGATGCCTATTAGAGTGGTTGTCAAAAAGTATGTAATATTGTGGTACATTGCTTCAATAAGGTGTACTGAGGATGAAATCATTACGCACCTGCTTCAGATACTCTTTGCAATTCCAAAGATACTGATACTTTGTGTCCTAGCTTCACAAAATACATGAAAAGGGATATCAATTACAGAAACAAGGTGAGAAACTGCCATTATCATTCTATCTGAAAGCATGGAAACGTGTTCTAGACAAGTTCACAATTTGAATCCATGAAATTTTGACATGCTAGGATTTTCCAGGCATGGCTGCTAAACAGCATCCACAACTTGTAAAGCTTGTAGCATTCCAATTTCAGCTACTCCAACAAAACAGATTGAACAGGTCAGCAATGTTTATACGACTTAAAACAAAAATAAAAACTGATCGTAGTAGCAGTCAGTTACCAGATTTTGCATTGCGATAAGATAACAGGAAAAATAGGATGAAATAATCAGTATATTATTAGTTACCAGATTTTGTACAAACCTGGGATTCGGGTGGCAAATCCTTGGGCGAAACCAGTGGAGGTGCTCCATCAGGAACACTCACACAATTACGGAATCCAGCCTCTTCCATAGCAAGCTTGTCCATTTCACCTTCAACCTAGATGCAAAAATAGATAATCATGTCTCATCATGTCGCCAACTACAAAAGCCTCCATTGAAAACTTGTATGGAGTATACATACAATGATAATATCATCAGCTCCCTTTATGTCATCCAGCCCGTAGAATATCTTTTCGGTATCCTTTTCCTGAAATAAATGCACGAAACCTAAGGATCACAGAGGGGGATACTATCAAAACCTTTCGTCAGAAAGATTTTGCAATGATGCTAGTTATCATATCTACCAAAAATTTCAAGTAAAGAGGTAGAAGCTTCTTGGAATGAGTTAGATTGACAACCCTCAGAACTTAAAAAGTTACTACTATGCATAAACTGAAGTTTCAGCAAAACTGTCGTTTGAAGTTAAGATTTCTAAATAGGTGAATTTGAGTAACAGAGAGATCTGAGAATGTTGTCAAAAAAAAAAAAAAAAAAAAAAAAGAGATCTGAGAATATGTGAGCTTTCTATATTTGGGAGATTTGAATTGATACTGTCTGTTGGTGTGATTTGAAGTGGATGAAAGTGCATTGAGAAATGCGATGAGTTGGAGAATGATACCCTACTCTAATTGTGTTTTGAAATGTTTGTACACATCAATCTCAATAATTTTACTTCTTCTCTATACTTAGTCTTCCCAATATATTACTTCTTTTGAAGAGCTCATGGGGAGGCGAGATGTTGAAGAGCTCATGGGGAGAAACCAGGAGTGCTGTAAGTGGTGGCAGACTGCTGAAAATGGACTTAGCTTTCATAAGTAGCTAAAATGATAGTGCCAAAGCAGACTTGTTAATGCTGCAGATTTTAATTTGACTTGAGTGTGTGCAAAGACCAATTTGTTAATCTGTTAGTAGGTTGTAGTGAGTTTGATGTAGTGGTGTTTTACTTCTGTTCTTTGCTTCACCAGGATCCAATTTTGGGGTGCCTGCTTCATTGTATCCGGAACAGCAAAATGCGAATGTTTGCTTTTGTGCATTCTGTCTGAGCTTGCTACGAGTTGCTGATTCAAATATAAAAGGAACAGTAAAGGAAAAAAGACAAGATCTAAAAAGCGATTTCTCCTGTATATGAGAGTGTGTGTGTGTGTGTGTGTGTGTGTGTGTGTGGGGGGGGGGGGGGGGGGGGGGGGGGGGGGGGGGGGGGGGGGGGGGGGTAATCAAGCTAAAGAAAAAAAATGAATGAGCTTATTTGGTTTTCTAATTTATTTTATTACATACTATTATTATTTTATTGGAGGTAATTTTGGTTTTTTAAAAAGAAAGAGGATATAAGTGTCGAGAGATATGCCAAATCAAGTTGGCTACAAGTTGATATGCAATTCAATCAGATGAAGGAATTGCAATTCTCCAACAGATAGAATTGTCCAATTCTCCAGCCAAAACGGCAGAGGATTTGCCAGTTCAACCAACTATTATAATTGAGGCACAAATGCACCAGTCAAATACCACCTTCAAACAACCCCTTAGTGTCGTTCTGATACATGAAAGCAAAGTTTGGGGGGATTCGGGTGGCAAATCCATGGACGAGATTGCAAAACACCAGCAGAACCCATTGCATTCATGAAGTATTCCAATTCAATGCTTTCTACTGAAGTAATACTCATAAGACAAACCTGCCAAAATTTCTTGTTAATGTCTCGATACTTGCAGCTTACAAGCATCCCGTTTCTTCCGTAAGTAAATGCAATAACAATCTGCAAAGTAAAAGCAGGCCATTATAAGAGGTACTTGCCCCCCATAAGTACCCACTTCATCCTTATATCAAACAGCCCACATAAAACGGGAGGAAAAAACAGCAGAATTAATATGACAACATAACAATATCAGACAGTAGAGTGCAGTATTCACAGGTGTAAATTTCTAGGCACATAATCCAAATATATAATCAATTTGTAGCAGGAATATTGTATTTCAGATGTTGCCAGCTTCTTTTTACAAACTTCCAGTGGCAAATAACTGAGTGGGTGTTATGATCCTTATGCATGAGAATAACAATGAAACGTATCAAAGCAGGATTAGTGTGTTTGTGGATTTGTCTTTATGCTTTGTTTTTTAGCTTCCTATTGCAGATAATTCAATCGCTGTTAAGCTCCTAGTTACCCAAGAATTTTGCTGAAATCACACTCAACCCAGACTTTCTGAGGGATCTTAGTCTTGCTCAAGACAGAACAAAAATTGTTATTGCAGCCTCCTCGGTAAATTTTCTAGATAGGCTGACGAGATCAACTTTTTCTACGTAGTGAAAGGGTTCTCAGTTACTCAGTGACAACAAAAAAAACATCAGTCAGAACTGTACAGGTTCACAAGGGAAATATGCTCCAGATCACTTCTTCTTCCAACCTTGAACCATATATACTCTTTTTACTCTTTCAAGAAACATATTGATATGGATTTTAAACACCAAACTAAGATGAAGCAATGACAACTGCTCTTCCGCAGAACAAAAACAACTATAACAAGAACACATTGCAATATACAAGAACTTGTATAAAGCATCACACCTGATTGCCATGAGCCTTCTGCATAACACGATTTCTCAACAAAGTTTCACGAGATATGTCCCGTTCTTTGAAGTAACCAACAAGCTGCAAGCACAAAAAAGCTCATATTGATGCATTAAACATGGCGCACATATCCAATTGAGGAATGAACTCATAGATGAACATATGTGAACTGGAAAGACTCGAACTGTAAGATGAACAACCTCACTGCATAGTGGTTCCAACTGCAGACTCTCCTCTGTAATTTCTCTTGCTTTCTTTTGGCGAGTACGTTGTTGAACTGGGTTTTTAGAGGTTGAGCTGGTAGCATGCTGCTCGAAGTCAAACCAGGAGCCGCAAAAAAGACATCCAGAGAAATGTAAAAGAGAAAAAACAGGTCAAAGAAATTAGCTTACTTTGGTTCCTCCAGTCCATCCACATTTCGCCCTATGACATATCCATGATGCTCTCGTACTGCATTATCAAAACATCCAAACTTAACATGACCATATTCAAAGAGGAAAGAGGATCGATTAGGAAAAGTGAAGCTGAAGATTATACCCATCAGCTTCTATGAGAATAGAGAACGACTTCTCTCCGGAATCACCACCTTGGCACTAGCATACAACAGAAACTCAAGTCACAACCAAGAGTTACTATCTAGTCTAAACTTGAGCAAGAAATAAGACACCATGAAGTTCCAGCTTAAAGTTCCATACTTGTCGAATAATTCTTGTTAGGCGACACAACTAAAACCAGTCGGCATTTAAGCAAACGATACTGAGGACACTCGAATCATTGACAATTCAGAAAAAACTGAAACCTAAGCTGCCCATTCCCATTTGTAACAGGAGCTAGGAGCTCACCTTTGGACACCATAAGCCATTGTACTGACCGGGGGCTAAGTTATCCATTTCGATTCCACACTCCGTCAATTGTTGCCGCAGAGCGTCGCTTTTCCATCCCCCGCCCACCGATATATTACCTGAAATTGAAAACGAGATTTTTAAGTCCTCCCTCAAAAGAAAAATCTCTACTTCCGTACACCATTAGAGTTACTACTCCAGGAAGCGTGGGAGAAATTACCTGGAGGGGAAACAGGAAGAGTCGCATGCCCATTGATGTAGACGGAACGAGAGTGGTTTCTAGAGATGGGTTTTGAACAAAGCACTGGGAGCAAGCGCTTTCCAGCGCGGCATAGGTTTGTATTGGAAAAAAATTGAGAAGGAAGAGGTGGGAAGAGAGGTACGGAAGCTGTGGCGGGTTTGGGAAAGAATCTGGAGCCCATGTGAGACATGGCAGCAAAAGCAGCAGTTGAGGACGAGGAGGAGGAAGAAGATAAGAAGGCTAGTTTTTTACCACGGCTGGAATGAGCAAGACGGAGCATGTCTCTCTTGTCTTTTTGCGGATGATTAGTTGGCGCTTCTTTATTTTCGACCGGATTCCATGGCTGACGGGCAGCAGGAAGGAGGGAAAACGGAGAAGATAGGGGACGGGGGCGAAACAAGGAGGGTTTAAGAAGGGCTTCTGCTAGCGACCTAAAAAGGAGTTGCTAAAGTTCGTCTTTAAAATTGCTAAATGTCCCCTTAAAAAACATCAAAGTTACAAATTTAACCTTTTAGCTTCTTTACTTTTTCTTTAGCAAACAAACACCACTTAGTAAAGAAAATATAACATTATTTAAAAAAGTGAATCCATCATCGTCATTCTAGAGTTGGAATCGTCGATATGATATCTGGATCATGACTAACGAGTAGCGACTCAAAATCGGTAAAGTTCACTCCAAAAGTTGAAAAAAAAAACAAAAAAAAAGGAACTGTAACCATGGGCCAACCGCAGCTCACTTGCGGTTGCACCATGGGCCAACAGCAACCAACCGCAAGTGAGTTGCGGTTGCACCATGGACCAACCGTAATTTGTCTTAGGTTGAGCGTTTTTTGGGAAATTTCGGTAGAGAACGGGCGACGACGGCGGTGGGAAAGGCGCCGGCGGATTGGTGCGTCGAGATGGATTCACAAAGAAGGCAGATAAGGGGTTCAGTTTGAGGAGTTAGGGATTGTTTGGTTTGTTTAAATTTTGAAATTTTATTGGGGGTATATAAGTCATTTATCATTAGAGTTAGGGTGACCGTTAGCAATTTTAAGGGCGACATTTAGCGATTCAGAAAAATTACACTGTGGCTCTTCAGTCTTTACCCACTTTCTGATTTGTGTGTATTTATCCGGCTAGCCAGTCGTCAAAACAAAGAGACCATTAGTTCCTAGCAAGGTTGTCAACCCGCGGGCTGATCCGGACACGATCGAGCTAGTGGGTTAAGGGTTATTGGATCACCCGGTTTAGCCTGAAAATATGGAAAGAGTCATTATATTGTCTTTATCCTGATAAATTATATCAAATCTCATCTAACATATGAGTTATAACATATACTATTCCACAAAAATAACATGTCGTACTTAGATTCAACATATAGTGAAAAATTCACACACACTTATATATCCTCAATATTCAAATGTTCAACTTAAGATTCCAAATATTGAGTTAGGCGAAAAGAAAAATCGGAAAATAGGTGCATTTCAAAAATCAAAGAAAAAAATGACATAATTTGACCTCCAACTCGGTACCTTGTAACGGTAGACCCGGCGGGTGCATGCGGCCCATTTTTCTCACCGGCCAGAGTCAAAGTGGGTCGACCCGCGGGTTGACAACCTTGGTTCCTAAGATTTTGACTTGGGAAATTAGGAATGGCAATGTGGCATGATCGGGGGCGGGTATCTCCATTCCCGTACTTGTCGTGTGGCAGGTCGGGTTCAGATTGGGTAATTTATCATGGGGCGCGAGTCAGGACATGTCAATTCAATGAGTATGTAATTTATATAAAAAAATATTAGAAATATTCGTTATTTTTTGTTTGAACCGCAAAACTCTTGACCAATGATGTTGAACCTGGTTCCAACCGAACTCCCAACCGAGGTGCCAATACCCTGCAAGAATGGGCGCAGAGGGGGGCCTGTGTGGCCCTTTAGCACTCTGAAGCTCAAGTTAGTCGAGTTCCTAAAGAGATAAGTGACGAGAGAGAGTTTAGTGAGAGAATCGAATCTGCTTAAATGCCACCTACCGATCACTATTTATACTCGCCAAGGTTCCGCCTGAGTTCCTAAAGTTGAACCCTACGTCAGCAAGGCATTAAATGCCCAGTTTAGGCGCCTCTATGTGGCAATATCTCAGTCTTCCTGTCGGGGGCGCCCATGGGGGACCACATCCACAGATGGTAGCCCTTTGGCCCTCTTCCTCCTTATTATTTTGTCCCCAAGCCCTCTTTTGTCGTTATGCGCCTCCTCCCACAGATATGTCCTAGTGGTCCTTTTCTCCCAACTCAACCCACCTTGCTCAGGGCTTTTGAATGGGTTTGGGCCTAATTGGCATTGTCACCATTTAGTGGATCCATTTATATTACCTAATATTTTTAATAAAAGATCAAGAAACAAACCACAATATGATAAAATATAGTTAAATTATTGGAGAAATTGAAGTTTCACTTATCTAGAACTTTATTATAGCTAAAATATGATGTAATAAAAGAAAAATCTTTAGTAATTTGACTAAAATTACATATAATTTAGGCAAAAAAGGTCGAGAATGGGGCGTATCAGGTTATGTCCGATCGATAAGAGGTACCCATACCCGCCCTGCCCCCAGGGGCGGAGCTAGGTGGTACTTCGGGGGGGGGGGGGGGGAGATTTTTGAAATCACGTACAAAATTTTATCGAGGTTTGAAGAATTACGTATAAAATGAAGATTAGTATAAATAGAAACTGTGTGCAATAATGAAGCAAAAGATTTGTGTGTAGTCCAGTGGAACAGCAGTTGATTGTTGTCATTCATGGTATTGGTTCCAAACCTGTTGGCAGCAAATTGTTATTGATTTTTTAACCTTCTGTTATTGATTTTTTTAACCTTCTTAACTGACTGTAATAAAAAAACCATATCTAATTGTCTTTAACCTTCTTAATTGAGCGTGACAAGGACCATATTAATTTTTTTAACCTTGTTAATTTAGTTTTACCATGAAGCATATTTAACTTTCATAATTTGTTTTACAAGTCATGTAATTTTGAAGTAGCTTAATTATGTTCTTCAAATTTTAAATTTATATTTCTAATAATAGTTTTGGCATTCTCATTATCTCAAATATTACAAATAAATTACAAATAAATACAAATATTAATTATATTTTATGATATATTTTCTTCTACATTTAAGCAGAGGGGGGCCTGTGTGGCCCTTTAGCACTCTGAAGCTCAAGTTAGTCGAGTTCCTAAAGAGATAAGTGACGAGAGAGAGTTTAGTGAGAGAATCGAATCTGCTTAAATGCCACCTACCGATCACTATTTATACTCGCCAAGGTTCCGCCTGAGTTCCTAAAATTCAACCCTACGTCAGCAAGGCATTAAATGCCCAGTTTACGCGCCTCTATGTGGCAATATCTCAGTCTTCCTGTCGGGGGCGCCCATGGGGGACCACATCCACAGATGGTAGCCCTTTGGCCCTCTTCCTCCTTACTATTTTGTCCCCAAGCCCTCTTTTGTCGTTATGCGCCTCCTCCCACAGATATGTCCTAGTGGTCCTTTTCTCCCAACTCAACCCACCTTGCTCAGGGCTTTTGAATGGGTTTGGGCCTAATTGGCATTGTCACCATTTAGTGGATCCATTTATATTACCTAATATTTTTAATAAAAGATCAAGAAACAAACCACAATATGATAAAATATAGTTAAATTATTGGAGAAATTGAAATTTCACTTATCTAGAACTTTATTATAGCTAAAATATGATGTAATAAAAGAAAAATCTTTAGTAATTTGACTAAAATTACATATAATTTAGGCAAAAAAAGGTCGAGAATGGGGCGTATCAGGTTATGTCCGATCGATAAGAGGTACCCATACCCCGCCCTGCCCCCAGGGGCGGAGCTAGGTGGTACTTCGGGGGGGGGGGGGGGGGGGGGGGATTTTGAAATCACGTACAAAATTTTATCGAGGTTTGAAGAATTACGTATAAAATGAAGATTAGTATAAATAGAAACTGTGTGCAATAATGAAGCAAAAGATTTGTGTGTAGTCTAGTGGAACAGCAGTTGATTGTTGTCATTCATGGTATTGGTTCCAAACCTGTTGGCAGCAAATTGTTATTGATTTTTTAACCTTCTGTTATTGATTTTTTAACCTTCTTAACTGACTGTGATAAAAAAAACCATATCTAATTGTCTTTAACCTTCTTAATTGAGCGTGACAAGGACCATATTAATTTTTTTAACCTTGTTAATTTAGTTTTACCATGAAGCATATTTAACTTTCATAATTTGTTTTACAAGTCATGTAATTTTGAAGTAGCTTAATTATGTTTTTCAAATTTTAAATTTATATTTCTAATAATAGTTTTGGCATTCTCATTATCTCAAATATTACAAATAAATTACAAATAAATACAAATATTAATTATATTTTATGATATATTTTCTTCTACATATTACACTTTCTAAACTTCGCCCCCCCCCCCCCCCCCCCCCCCCCCCCCCCCCCGCGACGGTCAAATCCTGGCTCCGCCCCGCCTACGTGGCAGGTCGGACCTGCCCAAAACTGGCCAAACAAGTCGGATAAAATGGGCCAGGTCGAAATTTTCATCCAAAAATTAATGAGCTCCACGGAATATAAAATTTCACCTCATGATCAACTCAAAGTATGGCTCCGATATTAAATACATTCGCTACTAAATACCTACTTTTCCATCCCTATTTCACGTTTTGCTCCAACCATGAAACTCTCAAATGTAATATCCTCACTTTTTTTCTTTCGATTTTTTTACACGAATCTTACCGATAATGATATGCATGCTAATCTACGTTTATACTTTAATTTTTTATGATTCGTCATTATTTATCAAAATAAATCTTTTGATATAAATTTTATTTATTGTGGGCATATATTTTTACAGAGAATATGAAAAAAATCAAAAATTAAATTTTGATAAACTACGACACCTTGATTTTGTTATTTGTAATTAGTAGTGATTGATGCATTTTAGTAAGAACAATGACTGAAATTTATTGAAAAGATAATCCATATGAAATAATACAATTTAAGTATAACTATGCGAAACACTACTAATAATTAACGGAAGTCAAATGCACACTACCATAAAATTCACTACTAGATTTGGGCACATAATACCGTCCCAAGGGACAACGAGTTTTAAGAGGTGAATGATAAGTTTTTTTATACAACTAATTTGAATGTTGGATGGAGAAAATACATAGCTTGGAGGCATTTTGTAGAAGATAGCGGGTAAGAGTGGCGAGTACGTGAAACAAGCCATTGCTGTCAACAAAAC